AACTAAAAGATCATCCTCTTTATACGCTTTTGATCTATTAATATAGCAAATTCATATGAATTCTTGATTGGATATTTCCAATATTCAGCCAATTTCATTAGTTGTCTACATAATAAACTCTTTTTATTAACAATTACTCTTAAAGGAACTACTTCCTTGAGTATCTTTGGTAGGCGTTAGCCGTAATCGAATACAAACAGGCACATAAACATACAGGTATAGACACACTCACAGGCTTCGAAGTTGACATGTGACCTTAACTAATTAGATCACTTTATACTTGATTAAAGAGGCCAGATGTAGAGTATATATAGCACTTTTTTGGGATTTGCCGGTGAGTTTTCTTGACTCTTTAGTTTGAATTTTGTTGTGACGATGATACCTTGCTTTGATGATGTTCTTCATATGACGAACGAAAGCTTAGCACCTTTTCACCGGAATCGAAGGAGATTGCTTCGGAAACAGCGTCAGCATGAATTTTCCAGTAAAGCCAATCGACAGCTAGTCAAGAGGAATCCGCCTTCGTCTTGTGGTGGAACCGACCTTCGAATCTCTTTACCCAACACTTTCACTCGAAATGGAAGTAAGCTCAACAATTTCTAGTTGCAGTTCTTTGTTTAATCTCTGCATTAAATAATGTTTTTGCCTTGAACTAATCTGTTGAATAGTTGAAAGATCGTCTTGAGTTTGACGATTCTCTGGGCCCACTAAATTACAGGACCCACTAGTCTCCTACTTTGAATATGACCTTTTCCTGACTAATTTCACTCAAACAATATATCATTGTGAGACGCTTGGGAACTTATTAAGCACAAAAAACTCTTTACTGGCTGCGTAGACATTTAAAGCACGAATCTTTTAGTTTAAAATTAAAACTGCAATTTAATGAGCCTATTTCGGGATACTTGATAAGCCAAATTAACCAATGACTTCGAAAAGTCTTAGAAATAGCTCTTGAAAACTCTTGCGGTTTTTTATAACACTCTTTGGCTTCTTAATAGTTCAAATGTAAACAAATTAAGCATGTTTAATTTTATTCAATCTCACAGGTTCAGTCGATCTATACGCTAGTCAAATGTAACCATTTGAACGAACTTTTTCGTACATTTGCAGGTACTCGGATTCGCCTTAAGGTTAACTAGAATACAAACCCATTCTGATGAATTATATTGTGGACACATTCGTAGAGCAATTATGGACTGTATAATAGAATTCACATACATACAGTCATCTGCCGAGCAAGAGCATTACTCATGTATATTCTCAACATTGTACAGCATATTCTGACCCTTCGAGTTGAGCGACAACAGTACAAGTATAAATCTAGCAAAAGATTCTGCTATAGTGGCTGCCTCTGTCATAAATCTGATTTTGCGGCTCTTCCCTATTGTCCGCAGGGAGAAATTACACTTAGTGGATATGATTTTATTTGTTATCTCGAGTAGAAAATTTATTGGGAGGGCTTCCTACATTGGTCTCATCGTAAACCAAAGGAGGTTTGCCCTGGAGAATTTAGGACAGTGCGAAGAAGCTCGTGGCTCACTGTCTTTTGAGCCAGATTAATCTGTGCTGACCTTTCGAATGTCCTTTAATGAACGTCTTCGGAGAGTGAAATCATCATTTATCAAATAAACCGATACACTAAACCATGCTAAGGTGCAATCTTACTTACTTATTATAGCTAACTTTTCTACCCTTATGTAGCCTTTTATAATTTGGTTGGTTATTTCATGTCTGTCCTACTTTCTTGCAGATGCTTGGGGCTGATGCACGAAAAGTAAGAAGACGTAGTCAAAGCTTTTTCATTGCCTAAATTAACCGGAGTTTGACCCGGCAATTTCGAAGCATGTTAAGATATATGGTATTGTGTATTGTATGTATGCAATATTGAAGTAATAGGAGGTGTAAGGGCCCTAGGATTCCTCCTGTCTTGATGTTCTTCTTGCTCTCTCTTCCTAAAAATTAGCCTTCGTCATATCTACAAAGGTTTTAAAGAATACATAGACCCAAACACCAGCCAAATGCAAAACATTGGGGCTTAAATTTACACAGAATTGTGATTTAAAAGAGCAAATAGTCATGGTATTTCCGAAATATTACAATATAGTTGAATTAAGGGGCTTCACAAATATAAGCACCTGCACATGATTCTTAAGGTCTTGGAATTTTTAATTTGAAACAATGTGAAGATAATCACCCTATAATATAGGTTAATCCTGGTTAGCTTGTTTAGAAACCATTATTTGAGTTGTCCACTAATAATTTAAAGGAAGACTTGATTAGGTTCATTCATTTCCCCCTTTCTTTTAGCTTATAAAGAGATTTTCGTCTGAAAGAGACTTCAGCCTTGACAAAAGCTAAGAAAAGTAAGTATTCCCTGTAGGATTCTAACCTTCCTAATCTAGATTATCGAAGTTTTTAAATGTTATAGTTCAATTATGTTTAGAAAGAAAGCTTCATAATCATTTACTGCTTGGTTTTCTCTTGAAAGCAATATCCTGGATTCCTTTGATGTCCTTTTGAGCAAAAAATAGATTGTGATGAAATTAGTAATGGGATAATTTCAAAGGCCGGATAGAAAATATTTTGAAAAAACTGGTATTTAAGAAGAATCCTTGAGTAATAATGCAAAGCCTTGGCAAAAATGGGGCCTTCATGTGTTAAGCTTGTCGATCTCTCCAGATTGATGA